TATTTTTTAAATAAATCTAAATTAGCATAAGATGTATTCGAATATTACATTTATGTTAACTTTAAAGTAACTTATGTAAATTTTAATAAAATAATTATTTGTTAAACCGAAGATTAAAAGGTGAAATTTTAATGATACTCTTTCTCTAAAAAAATAAATAAAAATTGTTTTCTTTAAAAAATAAATTATTCTTTTGAATTAAAAATTTTTTGAGCTTTTGACTGTAAGATAAGTTTGATTGGAGTTAGAATTTATTTTAATTCTGATAAATTAAAGTAAAGTTCCGATCTTTCAGATTTGGTATTTGGAGAAAGTCGATCTTTGTTTAGGTGGCGAGTGCTCAACGTAAAGAACTTGCAATCTTGTGCGTAAATAATTTGTAAAGAACTTGCAAATTTGTTTCCTACAATGTAATATAAATATTTAAAGATAATATAAATATTAAAGATATATAAATTAAAATATATGTATAAAGCTAGCAAAGAACAATTGTGGCAGGACAAGGATACAAATTTAAATAAATTAAAATAATACAAATTGTATTAAATAATTATCGTAGAGTGGTGGAAAATATGAAGTTGTCTCTATTATAACTTCTTGTTCTTTGGAGAAAAAGGAATACAATTAATCAAAGTATATTTATATTATTCGATATGGACTACTATTTTAGCATTATAAATATTAAAATATTAAATTAATATTAAAGAAAAAAGATAAAAATTTGAAGAAAAAATTATACATATTTTCCTTTGATTACTCAAATTTAAGAAATAAAAACTATAAACTCTGTGATTATAAGTGTTTAATTTGGGTAGTATTAGTTGGTCTAAAATTTCTATTAAATCTGAATTTAAAAAAATGAAAATAATTTTGAATATGAAAATAATTTTAATTGATTTAATTAAATTCTTATCGTAGAGCTGTGGAAAATACTAAGTTGCATATATGCGAACTACTTATTCCTATTTGGTGGAGGGTGTGGAGGGAAGACAACATGTTTAGGGAATGCTCCTGCAACTGGTAGAAAATATTCTATTTGTAATTTTAGCCATTGATCTTAATGTTTTAATTACAGGTACAATGACCATGAGTCTTGTATATGCCCCCTTATTAAATTAAAATTGGAATTTATAATGCAAAATTTAATAAAAGTATGTATTAGTTTTATATCAGCCTTAATAGACTAAAAGATTTGACCGATTTATAAATAAATTTGAAGAAAACCATTTTTACTTTGATATAGGACGTTATGATAATAAGAAAATTGAATATATCTTTATAAAAATAATTCCAACACTAGTAATGAATGTATTTTAATTTCTATTTAGTTTATTTAAATAATTAAGTTATAAAACGTCCCCGAAAGTATTTTAATTTCGATTTAGATTCATGCAATATTTTTAACATGAAATATTTTAATTAGATTTTTTGACAATATTTATTGCTTAAAAAAGTAAAGATTATTTTAAAATAATCATTTCAAATTAAATAAAATTTGTGGTAAAATATATAAATTAAATTAGTTATAAATTAATTTATTTAATTCAAATTAATTTATTTTCAAAATTAATTTATTTAATAGTATATAAATTAAATTATTTAATTCAAAAATCTTGTATCAAGTTCTTATATCAAATAAGATTCTATTACATTTAATTTGTATGTAATTTACATTTAATTTGTTACATTTAATTTGTATATAAAAATATAATAAAATTAATTATATATAATATTTATTTAAAATAAATTGCTTTATTTAAAATATATCTAAATTATCATACTAAAGACCAATACGTCAACGTTCTTAGAATTTGGAATCAAAATAGATTTCGAAGCAAAATACGGCACTCAAATAATGTTAAATGGGTGATCAACGATGTGATTTTTTTAATTAAAAAAATTTTTTCTAATTTAAAATTTAAATTTTTGAAATTTTTTAAGTTTTTAAAATTCAATTAAAAAATTTTACTGCTTCCAAGCAATGCATTATAAAATATATTTACAAGAATTTCGAAATGCATTTAAATTATAGAAATGTTAAATATTTTATATTAAAAGACCTTTTTCACAAATTTTTTAAGTTAATACTAGTATAAATAAAATATTAATAAACTGTTTAGACCAAAATGAAATAAAAAAGATTTTTCGATTAATCTAACCAACATTTCGATTAATCTAAGGTCTAGGTCCCTACATCAGCTTGTACCTATGGAAGACCATTTAAATAAGTCAAATATAAATTTATCGTTTGCGTTATATAATACTAAATTTTTTTATCAAAAAATCACAAAATATGTTTGAATATTACTTTTATGTTAAAAACGAGTAAGGTAATATAGGTGAATTTTAATAAAATAATTATTTCATTAATGATGGCAAAATACATTGGTTAAAAATAAAATTTTTATTAATAGAATTTTTATTAAAATTATATTTTGAGTGAAATTGAGTGAAAATTTTAATGTTTAAATAAAAATGAAATAATTTACGATGAATATAATAAATAATTTTTAATTTATGATTAAATATTTTACCCGTCCTGTGAACATGAAAATTATTATTATAATGTGATATTCGAAGATTGGAAAGAAGTGACCCCATTTGGACAAAGCAACTTAAGAATTCACTAATACAATCTTGTATTAAATTTTATAAATAATTCTAATAATACTATGGGAAAAAGAATTATGGATCGAACAAAATATAGAAAATTAGTTTTGAAAAAATAAATTTTTATTCAAATAAAAAATAACTGGTTTAAGCAAAATTACTAATAAAATAAAACTAATATAAAATTATTTAAAACGTGAAAATAGCTCTCGGAATAATTAAGAATACATTTGTCATTGTTATAATAATATATTTTTAAATTAAAATATAAATTACCACCGAGTGAGTTTAAATCATAAAATATAAATATATAATGCTTGTTCTAAATGAATTTAATTAATACAATATAAATTGATTCAGCATTAAACAATCCGAGATAGGTATATATATTAGATATATATATATTAGATATATATATTAGACGAATATACACTTCGTGATAGTAGTTACCCCCCCCAAAAGGTTGCACAGGTGTGCAACCTTTTGGAGGCGGAATTTTGAAACATCAAAGGGAAACCCAAGGGTGTAGGGGGTTTCCCGGACCCATCCTCATCAATTTGTCGGCATGATCAAAGGGTTTGGGTCATTAATTTGGGAAGGTACAAGATAAGTGACAGGTTTTGATTGATGGGTACAAGATTTTGATTGATGATTACAAGGTACCACCCAAATGTTGCACAACGTGCAACATTTGGGTGGGTACCAAAACGTTGCACGTTCTGCAACATTTTGGTGGGTACCAAAACGTTGCACGTTCTGCAACATTTTGGTGGCTGAATTCGGCAATCAAAGGAAACCAAAAGGATTTGGGGCACTTTGAGGTTCTCGGAGCGGGAAATTTGATTGACAGGTACAAGTACAAGGTACTTGTACCTTGTACTTGTACAAGGTACAAGTGTTTGATTGATGGGTGACAGGTGATTAATTTGATTGATTACCTGTAAAGGTTTCAGCTCCAGACTGAAAGTCTGGGACTGAAACCTGGAATTTCAGTCTGGGACTGAAACCTGGATTTCAGTCTGGGACTGAAATATTTTGGGGGCCGGGGTCCGGGATACGGTAAAATAAATAAAAATAAATTAAATAAAAAATAAATTAAATAAATTAAAAAAAATAGGGAGAGATAAAATTTACAAAATTTTAAAAAAATATTAAAATGATTTGCAAAAAAGGGCGGAAGTCAGAATGTAAGGGGGAGTTACCAATTATTTCGAAACATGCAAGATCTTATCTAATTGACTGATGATTAATGAGTCTGGGGCTGAGATATTTGAGTCTGAGATTTTCAGTCTGGGACTGAAATTTTTGAGCCTGGGAATTTCAGTCTGGGGCTGAAATATTTGGGTTTGGGATTTTCAGTCTGGGACTGAAAAAAGTTGGGGGCAGGGGTCCGGGGTACGGTAGTTTTAAAAATAATAAAAATAAATTAATTAAAAAATAAAAAATAGGGAGAGATAAATTTTTACAAAATTTTACAAAAATATTAAAATGATTTGCCAAAAAGGGCGGAAGTCAGAATGTAAGGGGGAGACCAATTATTTCGAAATCTCAAATTCGACAAAATGCCACAAGGACAAAATGCCACAAGGACAAAATGCCAGCTCACAGAATGTCAACTCTCAATTCGCCAACACCCAAAATGTCAATGTTCAAAAGATCACCTTCACATTCTCTATTAAATTTATCTCTTCATTTAAAATAATATAAATATTTAAACACCTTCAATTAATTTATATAACTTTCACTTATCCCTAACACTATCCTACAATTATCACTTAAGATAACTACAATAGATCACTTAACTTAATATTACATAACATTCCAAACAAAACCAAACATGGTTCATATAGCCTTTGACCCAAGGACAATCGGTTACGACGACCATCATATATCTATCAGCCAAGTAGGACAAGGCGCAGATGAAAACTATTACTATTTTCGTGGACTAAATCCTTATCAACGTGGATACGGGAGACAAGCGGGTGGCGGAGTCGGAGATGTACTCAGAAATTTTTGGCGTTTCCTCCTACCGTATGCAAAACGCGCGGGTACAGCTGTAGCGAAGGAGGCATTGGATACTGGTGGAAGAATTTTAGAAAGTGTGGGAAATCCAGAATATGGCAAAGAAGATTCTAATCCAAATTTTAAGCAGACAGTAATAAGTGAAGGAAAACGTGGTTTGGACAGGCTACTCGAGAAAGGAGGATTGCCAAAACAATTTGGAACCGGATTGCGAGTCAGAGGTAGTATAAAAGGACTCAAAAGAAAACGTAAACCCCATTCATCATTTTCAAAAGAAAATAGTCATCAACTCATTATTGGCAGACCTCCATCTCTTACCCCAAAAAAGAAGCGTCAAAAAATAGATACATTCGGTCTTTATTAAATAAAAATGTCTACTCATCAGAAAATTGATCGCGATTCTGGCAACGCAATAACAACTGCTTTATCATTTTTCGAAACCCCCCACACAAATGTCAGTATTAGCAACTCCTCATTTATTGAATTACTCACACTCAACCCTGTAAATATCACCCCTTTTCATTTCAAAATTCATGCGACTACAAATTATATTGATCTGGCCAAAACTTATGTTTTTACTGAACTTAGGATTAAAAAAGAGGACAAAGATGGGAAACTTGTTGATATAGGAAAGGATGATAATGTATCGGCAGTGCAACTTATAGGCCACACACTTTGGAAAAATTGCCGTATGCATATTAATGGAACTCAGGTTTTTGAAGGGAACTCCCTCATGGCATACAAAAGTATTTTTGACTATGAACTAACCTACCCACAAAGTGTGAAGAACTCTTATCTTTCTGTGGCGGGATATTATGATGATGGAGCCACACAAACATACCCAGGTGTTGATTCTAATGGATATGGAGTTAAATCAAGGAAAAGATTATTCTTAGACGAAGATGGAAATCCGCGTACTGCACAATTTATGGCCAAACTGGATGTTGATATTTGTAATCAACCAAGATATTTAGTAAACCAATGCGAAGTTGATATTGAACTTTTGCCCAATGAATCAAGTTTCCTGCTTAGTGCTCCCTGGGACACTGCCCCAAAATATCATCTAGAAATTTTGGCTTGCAAATTATATGTAAAGAAGATTGAATTGATGGACAGTCTAGCCTTTGATATTGCAAAAAAACTTGAAATAAAACCCGCGAGATACCCAATAAGAAAAACATCTCTGAAATCTTTATTCATCAGTGAAAATAGAACAGAATTTAATGCTAACCTATGGATGGATCAGGTGCCCCGAAGAATTATACTGGGAATGGTTGATAATAAAGATTTTGTAGGACGGCAAAAAACAACTCCATTTTATTTTCAACACTTTAATTTGAGAGATATTTCCATTACTGCTGGAGGAGTAACTTTTCCAGCAGCCCCTTATTCCCTTGATTTTCCTAAAGGAAACTATGCTAGAATTTATCATGACATGCAAGAAGCAATAGGGTACGCGGGATCCCTAGAAAGTAACGGTATATCAATGTTTCGTTATGCATATGCAGGATATTGCTTCTTCGTATTTAACCTTACAAATAGCCAGGAAGATAATGGGCCAGAGATGTTTGATTTAATAAAGAATGGTACAACAAGTATAAGAATGACCTTTAACGAACCGGTTCCCAGTGGTGGGATTGTACTAGTAGCCATGGGCGAAATCGATTCGCTGCTAATGTTAGATAGGAACAGAACTATTTCTACAGATATTTCAGTATAAATACCCTCAATTTTCCTTATTTTTTCATTCTCCCATTTCATTTTAAAAATGTGTCACATTACTATAAAAATTGAATTTTGCTTTGTTTGTTTCATTTTATTTTTCTTCCTGTATAAATTTACCCAACAATATTCTATGTCTAACGAGGATGAACATCCAGAATATAGAGAAAAATTAATAGAACGTATAGGCTATTACGCTAATACAATAATTCCTAAACCAGAACAAATGATTAATTCGTCTTCGACAAAATCCCCAATAATTCCACAAAGAGTACAAAATAGTATTGGACTAGCATCTAACTTTAACCCTGAGAAAAATATTACAATCTTGGATTTTTGGTCAATGGAACACGTGGAGAATGTTCAATTTCCCTCTCCTTGCAAGGAATTTCCTTCATCAGAGACATCAATTGCTCAGACTATTTACTGTTATACATTAATTGCCCTCTGGCTTTTATTGCTAGCAACAGCATTGACCTATCAACTGAGAAAAATTATAAAGGTTAAAGGCAACACCAAAGACATTGAACTTGGAGAGATTCAAAGAAAAGATTCAAACCTGCACCTCTTTGACGAAAATGGACACTTTACAAATCGACAAAATCTTATTACACAACAGAATAACTAGTAGATATTTTAAAGGATGCTTTGCCGCAGACAAAATTCCACAAGAATTTCGAGAATACCCGTGCTCACTGGTCGTCAACCTTGAAAAAGCTACTCAAAGAGGATCACATTGGATTGCATTTTTTATAATTAACCCCGAGAAAATATTAATTTTTGATTCATTACTACTCCCCGAACCTCCAATTTCAATAAAAAATTTTATTTCCAAATTTCCAAACCGTGTAATGAATAATGTTCCCGTTCAAAACCCTCTTTTACCCACTTGTGGACAACATTGTATCACCTTTATTTATTTTATTTCATCTGGATACTCTTATAAAAAATTCCTTTCCCTATTATTTAAACATTCAAACCCAGACGAATTTGTTTTTTCCTTTATTATCAAAATGATAAAAAATATATAATAAAATTTGACAATTTTAAAAAAGTTTTAAATTAAAATCTTAACATTCTATTAAACATTAGGGTAATAATTACAGTTCCATGATCAAATTTAACAAAACTTCCGTTCATCCATCTTAGTTCAATTTCAATCTCGTTAATCTCTCTGGGTAACACAGGTATGAACATTGGTTGATCATACACTCTTTCTACAACACCTCCAGACCTATTCTCAACAGCCACAATTCTGAGTAATGAACTGACAGAATTACCCATTATTACAGTGTTCGTTAACCCCTTTGAATATACAGCAAAGCTTGTAAACCCTCCTTTGAGATCAATTCCATATTTTCCAATTTGTCCATTTACCAATGGCCCCATGGGGAAACCGAGAACATAGCATAGTTGTGAAGAGATAACAATATTTCGAATCTCAGGATCATTAAAAACCACCCTAAAGCGATCAATACTGTCCAAATATTCAAATTCAATGTCAGAATATAAATCTTTTGCTTTAGATTCCTTTTCTTCAATCAAAGTAACTGTTTTCTCATTTATCAGATCGTCAGTATTTTTCTCCTCCTTTTGCTCCTTAAATATCTCTTCTGTTGGTATAATCTCTTCTGAGGAATCCAAATCTAAAACTGGGCTTTCCCTACTTTTCTCCTCCCACCTTTCTTCTTCTTCTTCGAAACTTTCCTCATCAGGTACTGTATCTTGCTCTTCATCTATTGGTTGCTCAAGGGGTATAGGCTCTCCATATTTATCTATTCTTCTTGCATGCTTTAATTGCTCCTTGCTTTCTTTCAGTTCTTTATCTTTTCTTTCACTTTGCTCTGATTCTCTGACCTTGTCCTGCTCATAGTCATGTCTGTCCTTGACAACTTCCACCATTTCATCCGTAATTACGGGCGCAGGAATGGGCACCGGTTTGCCTTGATCATCTGTCTTTTGGGCATCTTCCAAATATTCTGGATGAGTTCTCTCTTCAATTTTTTGCATCTCCTTAATTTCATGTTTAGTCGGTGGAATTGGCAGCTCAAAATTTTTCCATTTCTTGTAGGCAGCATGGTGTATTGCTGTAAATCTATTTCTTCTGTAGGAAGCCAATTTATTTAATTGATCAATTTCCTTCCCCAGTTTATTCTTTTCTTCCTCATTTTGTTCTTGTGAATGGGCATCTCGTTTTTCTCGAATTTGTCTATGTAATTCCTGTAGATCACCTAAATTTTTCTTTAACGCTGTCCAATGATCTACAGGGTGGTCCTCGAAAAATTTCTGGACAAATTCTGAGTGTGTATTTGAATTTTGCTGATGAAATTCATCTCTAGTAATTTGCAAGTCTCTTTCAATAATAGCGGATTCCAATGCTTCCAAATTCTTACGCATACGTTTTATTGAATTAATAAACCTCTGAATCTCATCACCAGAACGAGCATTCTTAACACCCTCTTCCCTGCTTTCTCTAATTTTGTCTTCTAGTTCAATGTATCTTACTATTATATTTATTTCCATCTTTATTACTTCCTCGTGATAATCATCTGGGTGTTGTTCCAAAAACTGCTTTGCTATTAGTCCATCATCACGCCTATCCCTCTTATTAGCTTCCTCTGTTAAGAGACGAATTTCCTTCTTTTTACCTTCTGAAAGGGAATGTAGGTGATCAAGTTCTTGCTGTAATTCTCCCTTATGTGTATCATCCTTCTCATTAAGAACTTGTTTTGTTTTTTCCTCTACATCAGATTTATGTTGTTCTAATTCTTGTTCATAATCGCGTATGGCTTCCCAGTAATTGTGTGGATACTGATTAAAAAATTCCTTTACCCATAATGGCACACTATCTACTTTATCTACCTCTCTCTTTCTTCGTTTCTTAGCTGGCTCCACTACTAAATTAATTTCTGGGTCAATAATAACTTCATCCTCCAAAGTATCGATTGATACATCGCGTCTTTTCCTAGGTTTCTCTTTATTGGATAATACAAGTTTTAAAAAGAAGCTGAGTCCGTTGGGTGTTAGCTGTGTTGTTTTGGGAATCCCAATTTTGTGTGGTTTCTTATTTTTGTAATTAATTTCGATCCATTGTTTAACGTCGGTGCCAATAGTTGCAGCCCATGATTGGGGGTATTGGATACTGTAAAGTCCACATACCCAGTTTCCACCTTGAAACTCTATTGGTTTCGGAAGATGCACTCGATATTTATTGGGTTTATTATCTGGGTAATCACTAACATTACTAGGAAGAACAACAAAGAATGTATTAGCCATTATTTATTTTAAAGATAATAATAAATTGAACAATTAAAGTGAAAAAATAATTAAAAATGATTTATGGGAATGAAAAAATTGGGCTTTTATACAAACTGGTTTTCGTCTATCCACTGGGGTTGGGGGTAATCAAAAAATTTAACAAAAAATTCTTTTCCTCCATCTTTTTTCTTTCTGCTCTTAATAATCTTCTCAATTCTGTAGCTGGTATTCTCATCCTTCCTCACTTGGATTAATTCCTCAGGGTAGAAATACCCTTTAAATACTTCCCCATTATCGTCACGGACACGGTATCTGTTGGGGTTAGCCTTCTTTTTAACTAGATCTATTTGAAGAATTTCATCGCTGAAATTTGGAAGATAACCCTTTGAAAAAATATTTTTGTTTCTGCTCATACGTACATGATCATTTTCCTTAAATCGCGGCTTTTTTCTAGGTTTATTCTTCCCAATAGGACCAAATACCATTTCTCTAATTTCTTTTGCATTGTTAAAGTTTACATCAACCGGTCTTAATCCACCTAAAACCCTACACTTTGAATGATTTATTGCGTCAACTATTTTCGGTAATGCCTCAGTCCATTTTAATGTATGCTTCTCACTCATAAATCTGTACAGTCTCTGTTTAATGTTACGAATACATCGTTCAGCCAGTGACGCTTTAACTGATGAAAAGGTTGCCGTGTATTTTTCAATATCT